CATCCACCTACACTCACACACTGAGAGACACAGATACTGACACGGACACACACACATTCTCATAGAGATAAACACACGAAGACACAGGCACAGACATATGCAGACATCCACACACAAATATAGAGACACACATATGCACACACATGGGCACACACAGACACTAATACACAGGCACACTCGTACTGATACAGAATGACGTACAGAGATACATACACTCACGGACACACACAGGTACACAAACGCAGATGCTTTTAGACCCTGACGCACACACAGCAGCATACACAGCAGCATACATGCAATCACACTCGTAACCTTCACTTATCTACTAAGGCTTCACAAATCAGAAATCACCATGAGTGATGTACTCTGCTGTTTTCTGGTTCATTCTATTTGTTTACATGCAGAGAAACTCTGGAAGGACCTCCACAGATTTCACCTGTTTTCTTTTGGCGGCTGGCCAGGATGGGGATCTAAACCCTTGAACTTGCTGTTACAACACTGTGATGTAACCGACTGAGCTAAACCGTTAGCCCCAGATTTCACCTGTTAAAAGCAGGAACTTGGGAGCCAGACTGCTGGCTTCTCCACTCACGGTCTGCGAACCTTAGTAAATGACCTTATCTCACTGAGCCTCAGTTTCCTTATCTGTGAAATGAGGCTCATACTGTACCTGCCCTAGCGTGGGGCTTTTGTAAGGATCAAATCAGTCCCTGTATGTCAACACTTAAAACAGTGCCCACTCTCTACCAACATTAGGTGGAGTTTACATTTACACCTTCTGATACTTTTTGATTTTTAAACCACATGCATTTATTACCTGCCGTAAAAAGAAAAGTAATAAATAAAAGACATGAGATAACTTTTTTTTTTTTTGTCACCGAGAAGGGGATCACAACCCTTGGCTTGGCGTCGCCTGCACCGTGCTCAGCCAGTGAGCGCCCCGGCCATCCCTATATAGGATCCGAATCCGCGGCGGGAGTGCCACTGCGCTCCCAAGCGCTGCACGGGGCCGGCCCGAGATAACATTTTTAAAATGCTTCCTGGGACCTACATAAATTGATTTCATAACTGCTGTCCTGGCATATGGTTCAGATGGATCTTGTCTATCTCTGTGTCTGTCTCTTGCTGTCTTACACACATACGTCCCGGTCTGAGCTCTGGGTCAGAACCTTGGTCCATTCCTGCAAACTCCAGGTGCCCACTCCCCTGAGCCATTGGCCACCTGACCCCACCGCTGTCCTAGGGAGGCCAGTCCCATGTCCAGGCATGTCCACTCACGGTACACAGTGATGACAGAGGAGCTGATCATCTGGGAGCCATTGCAGAAGCTGGAGCAGAGGACATGGCTGTCATCAGTCACGTTGCTGAGCCAGAAGGCGGCCCAGCCCAGGCCATTGCCTGCCCGCTCCTTTGACAGAGACGTCTCCAGATTGATGAGCTCAGCATGGGGGCAACGGGTACTACAGTTTACCAGGAGAGACCCTCCAGCAGGAATCACCAGGTCCTGGGGCTCCACCCGCAGCAGGAACTCCTGCCCCTGGGTACCTTCAGAAACATGGGCAAGTTCTGCTGTTGTTCAGGGTTTCCCACCCACCCATCAGCAAGCCCACCATTCAACACCTCCTCCTGCTGAGAAAGAGTGGTCCCACCCTCATGGTGCCCCTAGTCCAGTAGGGAAGACAGAAGATGGATCAGGAACAGGGGAGAGCTCAGACAGAGGCCAGGAGAGGCTCTGACCCAGCCTATAGAAGGAGAGGAGTCAGGGAAGGCTTCCTGGAGGAGAGGACAACTATGGCCAGTTTTGAAGGCTAAGTAGGAATTAGCCAGGTGAAAGAGAGGAGTGATCCTGGCAGGGGGACCCTCACAGGCAAAGGTTGGGGGCCCAGATGCAGCAGAGAGAGTGTGTATGTATTGGGGGACAGAATGCAAGTCACATTCAGGGACCTGACCACCTGAAGGCTGAGTTAAGAAGCCAGAACTTTCTCCCAAGGACACTGGGGTGCCCCCTGTCAGACCTGAGTTTACGGAGGGGCTCCGGTGGCTAGGGCAGCAGGATGTGGGGAGCTTTGCTCCATCCCCCCACCCTACCAGTCCCCCAGCCCCAGCCCTCCCCTGCTTGACCAGCCTCACCTGAGGGCAGCACACAGCAGAAGGTGAGCAGAGCCCAGCAGGCCCCGGGCAGCGGCCAGGAGGGCACCATGGTGGCCAGCCTGAGGGAGGAAGGCGACTTCACAAGGCGCCCTATAGGGCAGAGGGGAGGAGGCGGGCACCCAGGGGACGGAAGTGCCGTGGTTAAGATTGCAGAAATCCAGGGGCTGCGCCTGGCCCCAGCCTGGGGGGTGGAAAAGATGCTCTAGCCCCTGGGGCCAAGGGTCAGGGGCCCAAGTGGTGCCCAGCAAGGTGGCTTGGCACTGGGAGTCTCCAATAGGGGCAGGCCTGGCCTCAGTTACACCCGCTAGCCCTCAAATGAACTCAAATGAACTCACAGGAAACGCTCACACACCCGGTTTCCTTTGTGCTCAGTACTGGGATGCCTTGGGGTTGGGTGGGATGGGGGCTGCTGAGAAACCTCCTTCTGGATGAACTTAGGTAGTGGGGGTGTTCTGTCCTCAGAGAGGAATTAATGGGGGACCTCCAGGCAATGTCCTTGAGGCGAACATGTGGGATTTCAAGGCAACAGTTCACTGGGACAACAATGGGGG